CCCCCCCCCCCCCCCCCCCGCACTGTCTGTGTTTGTAAAGTTTGCTGTATCTTCATCAGGAATATGACCGCCTCAGTGGTCACAGGTGATGAGGATGTTAAGAGTCCGAAGGTGAGCATCTCCTACATAAGGAATGTGTTTATTTACCATTTAGTGTAGTAACTGTTTGTGGCCAAGAGGGGGCCCCAGAGCTCAGGGGCCCCACACAAATGAATGTCTGTATATGTGTGTGTGTGTGTCCATGTTCATGCGCTCTGTTCCCTCTCCCCTTCATTTTGGGAGGGGTGTGACTCAGCATTCTCTCAGTCTTTTATTTAAATTACACGTTTTCGGGATCTAGGTGTCATCTGTTATCCTACCCCCCGTGTCTTTGCCACGGACTGACGGCATAAATAATCACTGCTGTCAAACAAACAGCATCTTTGCTAGATGGATGACAGCAGTTTATGTGTAAATACTGCCGGAGACATTAGTGAAAGCTCCACAGAGACTTCGTTATACGATTGACCATCCATATACAGACTGTAAATCCCAGGAAACAATATTAAGTGCAGCATCCCAATCAGGCCAAAGTTCAAAGAGAGGCACGGATGTTGAATCTTTGACAAAGGCACCCTGCATATGGATTCTTTCTTAAGGATACAGTTGCCAGGTTTCCAGATTCATACAGCTGCGTCGCTGAGGTATGTCGGTTGCTCTGGACGACAGTATCTGCTAACTAAGGAAACACCAATAAAAATTTTCGTCCAGATCAGATCAAACTTGCATGCCATCTCTATGTCATATATTTCTATCTTGGGTCTTTAAGCTTTTTTTAGAGGGAGGGGGATAGCAGGCTGTGGTCTACCGGTGGGAATAACAAAACATTAGTAACATTATACATGCCAAACAAATGCCTCTCTCAGCATCCGTGCCCTGGCGGAGGGGGGGTAGCAGGCACCAGGGGCACCCAAATGACCGCCTGTGCCCCGCAAAAAATGATAACCGAGTCATGCTATAAAAGATTAGCCTATGAGCCCTGCCTCCCCCATGAAAATCCTGCACCCGCCCATCAGATCAGCACCAGCCCTGTCCTCTCTCATCATCATAGCTCATTAGCGATAACTTCGCAGCCTGCAGAGACCAAACCCCTTGCTGAGAAGCATCCCAAGCCATTGTCCTGCATGACCCAGTAAGCTGTACAGATCAGTGCAACAAGTCTTCATCCATCAAAGCTCTTTATAGACACAGTCACGGACGCACAAATGTGCACAGGGCCAAGGCAACACATGCCAACGCACAAGTACGGCGGTGGCCCTGTGAGCAATAAGTGCCAAGCCAGACCAATTAGGGTCCTTCAATTGAGCCTAGTAGCTTTAATTCATCTGCTGTGTGAGTAGGAGAGAGAGAGAGAGACTGGTCAATAACTCAGCATTTCAATCGACTGAAAAACATTATTGCGTCTTCACATCCGCCTCTTCAAATATCTCTGCTTTCTGCGTCCGCAGCATTCGGGAGAGAGTTTCTTCCTCTGCCTACAAACATCTATCTCCGGACCATGATTAATTAACCTCCAGTGCTATCAGCATCCTATTTTAATAAGTTGTTTTGCTGAGAAAAGGTTTCCCTTCCAGGGTAAATTGTTATGCAAGAAGGAATTACCGTAAACAATAACGTTGGAAGGACTTTCTTCTGCTTTGTAATTTCAGACACTTACGAAAACAGTTCTGGGAAAGTGCCTTAAAGGATAATCTGGTTCTTTTTATTATTATTTTTGGCTCTCCTTTAAGTCTGGAGTGTATTCTGCTATTGGAATATGTCATTGTGTTCTTGCGAGATGCCAGTATTCAAAGCCCTTGGCATTTAAGAAAGATGTTAAAGTCATCTTTGATCTGCGTGGATGGGTGCGTGGTG